CCTCGGCCCGCGGGCGTGCACCCCGGGCCCGCACCCCGTCCAGGGCGCGGGCTGCAGCGCGCGCATCGCACCGCCCGGCGGCGGGGCGCCCCTGACCCCGGCTCCGCCAGCTCTCCAAGCGACTCCCGGGAAGCCACTGTCCGCGAGCCTCGCGGTGCGCGCTTCGCAAGGTTTCCCCCAACTCCTCCACTAAAGACCGTCCTGGAGCTCGATTTTAAAAGGCAAAGAGCCACATATCCCTCAGAACGCCTCAGCAACGAGCGGGAGGCGGCTGAAGCCGCCAGCCTTCCGGGCACACGGACGACTGAAGGAGGGGAGGGATGGGTAGGACCCAAATTCGCTTTCCCCGCCGCAACTGAATTCAGGCTCCGGTGGGGTTTCAAAAACGCAAGTCAAGCTTTCCCGCGGGGCTCTGCAAACGCCCAACACTGGATTTTGCAAAAGAGGCTAAAGATTTTATTTCCACACACACACATAACCGATGGCTGAAATATCATCTGCTACATCACACTAAAAGCAGCCCTAACCGCCTGAACGTGCTAAGAGGACTGAGAACCCTGACGTCTTGGACGGAAGGATAAACTCCGGGGGCAGGTCGGCCCCTTCGCCGCAGCCCCTACTCTTCCAAAAGTGCTGGGAGGCGGCGGTCGCGCGGCTTGTTAAGGATAATGCATATTCTAAGGAACACGTGCGGTTTCGGTGGGATGCCGGGGAGGGGGAGGGCCTTCTGGGTAATCAATAACAGGACAGTTATGGATTTTTGTCCCAGTCAAGTCCTTTAAAAGCAAGAGTCAATTATGAAAATAAAATTACTTAAAACCAGCACTGCCCGAGAGGGTGTTCAAAACTGATGTCACAGTTTTAAAACACCAAGAAAACTTGAGTTGAGGTTAAATTTTCCTTTCCTTCATTTTAATTCAAGCCATTTCGGTAGCTTACTTTAGTTAGCAAATGTGACCTGATGACGAATACCACGAATAAATTTACATTGTTTCTCAAAACACATATTTTCTCTCTAGTTACTGCTGCCTTTTGAAACGGTAAAATAACGGCACAAAGAAATCTGTATCTAAATTATGAAATGACGACCAAATAAGTTATTCGGACGAGCTTTTGTCCTGCTCTGTTTTTTTCTAACAACATATGGAAATTACTAACAGGAGATTTACGGTTATAAACCGTCATCACACAGCCTCCCTTACACACACAGAGCAACTGCTCCAGTTCCAGGCAACAACGGGGCTGGGGAGGGAAGGAATAGGAAGCCTTTACTGAAGGGGGGGGGGGACCTACAGAATCCAAGTCCTTCCCCGGGCTCCCATGGTCCCACCCGCCTTCACGCAGAAGAGAGAATCTGTTCGAGCGTTCACCTTCTGCGGAACGCTGGGAAAACGAAAACCCAACTGAGCCTCGCTGAGACCACTTCTTTGGGCCACTGGTCAGCCGCCCCCAGAGAGCCTGCTCTTCCCTGCACCTGGCCCGGAGGAGGGCGAGGAGGAGGGCGAGGAAGAGGGGCTCCTAAAGGACTCCTGCCTCTCCTCGTGTCTTCCTTCTCGCGCCCCCGGACCCCTCCCCTTTATCAAGAGCAGTGTGGCGGCCGCTGGGGTTCCAAGCTGGTCTTCTCTTTCTCCAGGATTGGCTAAAGCACTGACAGCCTAGGGACGGTAGGAACTGAAGCTCCACCCCCTCACCATGGCCCGGTACCATTCATAAACTAAGAGAGAGAGGGAGAGAGCGAGGGAGCGAGAAAGACAGAGCGAGGGAGGGAGAAAGAGAGAGGGGGAGGGAGGGAGACAGCGAGAGGGAGGGGGAGCGGAGGGAGAAGTGGGGGCCAGGTACCAGAGGGCAGGAGGGAGAAGCGGGGCGCGCAGGGCAGCCGCGAGAGGAAAACCCGGCCTCCTCACAACTGCAGGGCAGATGCGAGGCGGGCGGCGACTTCGGCTCACCGCGCGGGACCTCGCTGGGCCGCCGAGCGAGTAACCCGGCAGAAATGAACCCCCGGCCCCCGGCTCGCACCTAAGGAGGGCGGGAGGAAGCCCCGAGGGCCGCCTCCAGCAGGAGCGCAGGGAAGCGCGCGGCGGGCGCTGCGAGGAGCGGGCGGGCCAGCGGCCTGGGGAGCCGCGCCACGCACCCACCTTCCGAGGAGCCCGCGGCCGGCGCCACCCGCGCCGCGTGCGGCCGTCGCACCGTCCGGGGGCCTTTCCAGAATGAACCGCTGAGCGCTTCGTGCTCGTCTCAACGCTCGCTCCGGCCCTCGCGGGACTTCGCCCCCGGGCACCGGGGCCGTGGCCCTCGGCCACCCGGCCCCGCCGCCCCCGCGAGGACGCGCGCGGCCCCGCTCACCTCCCGAGTCCCGGTCCCCGCGGACGGCGGCGGCGGCTTCGGCGGAGCGCGCGGGCCTCGGCCTCCCGCCGGCGAGCGCCTTGGATCCCTCAGCGTACTGCGAGCCGCCGGTGTACAGCCCGGACCTGTGCCCCAACATGATCGCCGCGCAGGCCAAGCTGGTGTACCAGCTCAATAAGTACTACACCGAGCGCTGCCAGGCGCGCAAGGCCGCCATCGCCAAGACCATCCGCGAGGTGTGCAAGGTCGTGTCGGACGTGCTCAAGGAGGTGGAGGTGCAGGAGCCGCGCTTCATCAGCTCCCTGAGCGAGATCGACGCGCGCTACGAGGGCCTGGAGGTGATCTCGCCCACCGAGTTCGAGGTGGTGCTGTACCTCAACCAGATGGGCGTGTTCAACTTCGTGGACGACGGCTCGCTGCCCGGCTGCGCCGTGCTCAAGCTCAGCGACGGCCGCAAGCGCAGCATGTCGCTGTGGGTGGAGTTCATCACGGCCTCCGGCTACCTCTCGGCGCGCAAGATCCGCTCGCGCTTCCAGACGCTGGTGGCCCAGGCGGTGGACAAGTGCAGCTACCGGGACGTGGTCAAGATGATCGCCGACACCAGCGAGGTCAAGCTGCGCATCCGCGAGCGCTACGTGGTGCAGATCACGCCCGCCTTCAAGTGCACGGGCATCTGGCCGCGCAGCGCGGCGCAGTGGCCCCTGCCGCACATCCCCTGGCCCGGCCCCAACCGCGTGGCGGAGGTCAAGGCCGAGGGCTTCAACCTGCTCTCCAAGGAGTGCTACTCGCTGACGGGCAAGCAGAGCTCGGCCGAGAGCGACGCCTGGGTGCTGCAGTTCGGCGAGGCGGAGAACCGGCTGCTGATGGGCGGCTGCCGGAACAAGTGCCTGTCGGTGCTCAAGACGCTGCGGGACCGCCACCTGGAGCTGCCGGGCCAGCCGCTCAACAACTACCACATGAAGACGCTGCTGCTGTACGAGTGCGAGAAGCACCCGCGCGAGACCGACTGGGACGAGGCGTGCCTGGGCGACCGGCTCAACGGCATCCTGCTGCAGCTCATCTCCTGCCTGCAGTGCCGCCGCTGCCCGCACTACTTCCTGCCCAACCTCGACCTCTTCCAGGGCAAGCCGCACTCGGCCCTGGAGAGCGCCGCCAAGCAGACCTGGCGGCTGGCGCGCGAGATCCTCACCAACCCCAAGAGCCTGGACAAGCTGTAGCGCGGCCGGCGAGGAGGACAGCGCGCAGCGCGGCGGGCGCCGACGGAAGAGCGCGTCCCGCAGAGAGCGGCCCAGCCTCGCACGAGACGATGTGAACCCGGAGGTCGCGCAGAAGGAGCACTCGGGCTTGGCCACCCAAAACGAAATCCGAGGTACATTTTTTAAATCCATGTATAATAGCCCCCTCCTCCTCGAGTCCCTCCCCCTCCTTGTTTTCGGTTGCCCGAGTGTCACCAAGTGAAAACGTTATTTAACTATATGTGAATTTCCTTTTACAAAGTCTTACTGATGTGAAATGTGTCTCAGTGCCAATGTCAATGTGCCCCTCCCTCCTCTTGCTCCTCTAACCCTGGCCCCAAAACGTCTTGTTGAAACCAGTAAACCAGTAATAAAAATATTACTTTACGTGGTAATTGGCTGCTTGTGAATTGTTCTTGAGTGAAGGCACATGAGGTCACTTTCTTACAGGATGCGAACTTGGACTAGATGGAGGAAACTTCCATTGGAATTCTGATTTGCAAAGTTTAAAATACAGCATATTCTGGAGAATGAATTGTCTAACTTTCCCCCAAAGTCCTTAGTAAAGAGTAAAATAAGAATTTTATCAATATAACATACTTGTTATGTAGCTTTGAATAGTAACCTTCTGCAATACTTGAAAAAATAAAGAGCCAGTGTAGAACAACATGTTTTTATCATGTTGTTTTAACATTTAAAACATATCATTTTAACATTTAAAATAGTACTGATAAAAAAGCCTTTCTAAAACTTTTCCACATTACCAATTAGGATGTTTTGGAGGGTTTTGTTTGCTTATTTGTTTGTTCTGTTGTAAGTTCTTAAAAAGCTAGTGTAACAGAAATGTTTTGGAATGTAAAAACAATAAATAAAATTAGCAATTAAATCAACTACACCAAAAAATAAAATAAAATGGTCACTGCAAGATTTCTTTCTCCCAGCAACTGGTAATATGAACAATTCAGCTTTACACACTACTTCCTTTTTTCAATGATTTAGTTATGAATGCAAAAACATGATCATTTTAATAAAATTTCAATAATTATTTTGAATCTTCTCATATAAAAAAGAATGTCTTATTCTATTTTATGACCTAGATAATTACTCCAAAGATTTAGAAACAGGAAAAGTACCTTTCTCATCCTCTTCATCAGGTAACAATCCCCATACACCCATTTCAATGTTTCAACTCTAATAAAGATTTCTTTTATATGCAATAAAACAACTGTTTGGAATATAAAATAATTAGTAAAACGAAAACAGAAAATGGTTTACTTGCTCTATGTCCAAAGGACATGGACCTTCCACTAGCTTTCGTAATGTGAGGGACAGAAAAGGAGTATGTTATATACTATCATGAATATTTGGATTTTATTCTTTAATCTGTTTTTTAATGTTTTTCCAAAAAAATGAAAGATATAGAAGAAAATGCTCTGGAAAGCAGTTTTCGGATGAGTTCAGGCGGGGGAGGGCACCTGAGGCTTAGAGCAGCAGCACTAAGATTGTGACCGAGAATCTCCTCAGGCCCCAGGTCTCTTGACAGTACAGGCATAAGCTGTAGGCTGCCCTGGGAAAAGTGATTCTGTGTCAAAAACATGAGCTTAGGCATTATTTATTCTGAAATTACCTTTGCCCTTTCAATGGACATAGTACTGTGTGTGTGTGTGTGTGTGTGTGTGTGTGTACGTGCGCACGCGCACACACACACGCGCACTTCTGCGTGGTTGTGTGTATCTTCCTGTAAATATAAAACAAACTTTAATTCAGTGTATTCACTAATTATTTTAAATAATAAAACAAGTTATCCTCTGAGGGAAAAGTCTGAATTTTAAGAACATTTTCAAAGGAAACAGCAGCTACTCAGAGGTGTACACAAGCCATTTACAGCACAGTATTTGGTTTAAATGGTTAAAATGCTTTCTTAAAATGACTATTCTCACTCAAAAAAGTATTTCCAGTGTGAAACAGCACTTCTTCCAACAACTTTACAAAAAAGTTATTAAGTCTTGACAAGAAAAATAGTATCCCTAATTCAATATCTTCCCTCCCTTACTTAATTCAAATTTTAAAAAGTTTTTTAATGTTAAAAATGTAGTCAAAAGAAGTGTTGGCATTTACAATACAAAAATATCTTTTAGCAATATTAAATCAAAGATTTTATCAATAATTGGCAGAAGTAATTTCAAATATGAGCATCCAGGAATTTGGATGTCTGGCATATTAGGAAGGTTGCAGTACAACAGAAATTTCAAGATTAGGCTAAAATGTTTTATATTTTGCAAGCAACAGAGAAAGAAAGCTAATTTAATTATGGTATATTAAGAGAAAAAAATCAAAAGCTACACCTTCCCATAAAACATCTGATAACCTCAAAGAGCCTGTTCTCAAAGGCTGACAAAGGTCTTCATTTTGAAGATTTTTTAAAACACCATCGATCAGATTTTAGACCTTAAATATTTGTCCCACAAGTATAATAAACTATTCTAAATTACCTCTCAGTCTTTCAGAAATCGGAGAGTTTAATTTTGGTAACCTCTTCATGATGAAATTATAACGTATTTTCAGAATCTTTTACCCATGAGACAAAGTACAAAACATTTCTAGGTGATAAAATGTCAGAATTCAAATTTTCTTCTATATTGGATTAGCTGAATTCCCTAACTCCCAACAACCAGGTCTACCCTGGCCTTGTCACATCTGCGGCAAGTCCTGCCGGGCACAGACAGGGACATGGAGACAAAGTGTGTAGGACAAGAAGTGAGCTGCTCGTGAAGCTCAACACAGTTGTAACATTTTTCTCAAAAGCTTTTTAGAAACACTTCCAAATCATAAAGATTTGACACTTGCACAGGATTCCGACAACAAAGAGGATGCCAACAAGCAGAAAGTGTGCGTATTATGTGCACACACAAGAGGCCAGTAAAAGGAATTCTTCTGTTTCAAACCACTCGTCTTCCTACTGGACATTTACTTGGTACATTTTTCAATAAACGGTTTCCTCTCAGAACAAATTATGCCATTCACTTTCATAAAATCAACACTGTTTTGGCTTTATGACTGTGTTAAAAAACAGAAATGTTTCTAAGTAAAATAAAATTGCCATGGTCTGAAAAGTAATCAGAATACCTTTGAAAGGGGAAATGACATCTTCGTTTAAGAATAGGAAATTATGCAGTGCTTGCAAAAGGTACCACAGGTAATGGGAAACAGAGGCCTCGCACACTTGCAGGATAGGCTCCTGTGCACCAAAGAACAGTAAGTCATGAAGACAAAGCAAGGACAGGGGCACATGGAACCAGAACACAGGGCTAAACAAAACAGTTTTACTCTCAAGCCACTGAAGTTCTGTTGCTTAATTCACCCTGGACCCTTTCAGCCAGAATATATTTATGGACAATGTTCCCTGAGGTCTCTTCCCCCGAAGAACTAATGATAAATGCAATTAAGAAGTTGTTGTTTTGAATTTAAATGAACTTCAATGATGTAGCGAGACGAGACGGTAAGAGCCCTATGCTAAAATGGTGACTGCCTTGTGGAAAGCAGAGGAAGTCAGCAAGAATTCTGAACTGAGCCTGTGAGATTTTACCAACCCCAATTTTAACTAACAGACCACACGATCCCACAATAACAAAATAAATAAACCCCCTTTGTGTCTCCTCATCTTCTCACCTTTGGGTCAATTTTCTTGAAGTTGGGATCCTCTTCATCCACCTCAAAATAGAGTTCAGAGGACGTGACCGAGAGAGTACCTTTCAGTGCCACAGAGGGGGCCACAAGCTGAGCCGGCGTGCTCAGGCTAACAGGACCTGCCAAGAGAAAAAGATAAGCCAGATGAGTTGGACTGACATTTTAAAACTCAATTTCCACCATCAAGAATATTTAATTTTTGTAACTCTTAATCCTAAGTAGAGGATTGCTGAACTGTGCTTCCACAAGCTCCACACCGTCTGGCCCCTCACACCCTGATTTACACAGGCAGTTCACAGTAATGGCTATGGAGAAGCAGTTATCTTCCAGGGAGTGTGGGAAACGGTGGTCTAATCTCGGTAAGAAAGAGGGTCTGCCTAAGTGAGCACGTCCACATTGTGTTTAGAAAGCCGGCCTCGGGCTACCAACAACATGGAATAACAACCAGGGGCAAGGAGGCCTCAACGGGCTCTGAGGCCAGAGGTGACTCAGGGCTGGGCTGAAGCTCGGGCACAAAGAGGACTAGCTTTCTGAGGGAAGCACTGGAAATGTACTGACAAACCATCTTCTCTCATACAGATTTCTGGACCAGTTTCATATAAAACCTCTTCCATGCCAACTTTCCCCATAAAAGACTGGTAAAAATATTTCTTCTCAAAGAGTCCCTTCCACTGTTAAATATTGCTCAGTGCCTCCAAATCTAATATTAGTGCAGTTCGGGGACTCTGGGAGTAAACAGCTGGAGGGTGGGTTTCCAAGTGAATGAATTTTTATTGGAATAATCAAATCTCCACAGGGCTTATCAAAGAGACAAATCAGACTGCTCCTGAAAACAATAGGTTCACTACAGAAAGAACCGCATAAAGTACATTAGAGCTAACCCTAAAATAAGGACTGAAAATAATTATATAATACATACATACTTGGAGATTCAGAGAGAATTTGAAATTCTACACTTCCTCATTGTATAAATTCTATATTAAAAAAAAAAACAACCAAAGAGAAGACTGGCATTTATAATTCTGAATTAATACAGTGCCTATAACAAGGTGCATCTATTCAGGTAATCAATGGGTGAATAAGTGCCTCAAAATTCAGATGAATTGACATTTCCATCGATTGTCTGAAGTGTGAGGGTCCTTAATCTCACATCAATCTTAATGTGTGCCAGTAGGACAATGGCAGGATGCTCTGTGCACATCAGGGCAGCTTTTGCCCTCTATTCCCAGTGTACAAATGCATTGTGTCTGCAGATGGGGAGCAGAGAGCTTCAGAACAGCCATGATTTCCCAAAGCTCATCCCCGTAAATGGATGAAATAAGCAGCTATGTGTTCTTTTGCTGTCTCCCTTTGCCCTCTGAACATTAGCATGTAATCCTGAGAAGAAATAACATTTTTTCAATCATTCTCAGACATTCAATTACAGAGCGAGCAGACAGCTGCAGAAGCGGGCGCAGCTAGGTTCTGTAGAAGACCCCTGACAATTTCCACTTCATTTCTAACCACACCACTTTATTAGTGTGGATTACTTCTTAATCCCATTGCCATTGTCAAGATTATATAATTAAACTCGCTTTCACCTCTACTACTGTGCGAATGATCGTTAGTCATATGAATGGGGTGAAATAAAGAAGGAGAGGAGTGAGTGGGTAGGAAGGGAAAGACCGAACAGCAGCATCCCTTCCTGGGCCTCCACTCCCACCACAGGCCCCTTAACAAGCACGCTCTACTTAATTGTACTCTACTTTGAGGTTTACAGCCATCAAAGCAGGTAACTAGCGGCCAGCTTTGTTTTCACTATCATTTCGCATGGTGGCACCAGGTCGGAGGTATACTGTCAAATAAAAGCTTTCAAATGCCTTTTCTTTTAAAATCACTGCAATACAAATTATGTAATTTTTACATGTAGAAACTATGTGCTTTTTCAGGTTTTTCTAAAGAAACAATAATAATACTAATACTAACACAATCAGACTTTAAAAGTAAAAAGTCATCTAATGAATGACTAAAACTTTAGGCTAACCAAGTGAGATTTTCCCATGAGAAAAATAAAACTGAGAATCTGATAAATATAAATCAAAATTTCTATACTATGCAAAGTGTGTGGATCCCGTGGGATTCTCACGGCCCCCTTCTAGGTGGCTTCAATGTATATACAATGTTTCCCTAAGAGGCTGTATGTAAAGCAAACAGCCTCCAGCCTTTGTTTACAAAATAACTGGCAGGATCTCACTTATTTTCTATAGTATGGAACTTCCAAAGGATGCATGGAGCAATTCCCCCGTAGCTGTTTTTAATATTTTTGCTTCAATGAAGATTATACATAAAACGATCAGTAAGGCCAGAGGACTGGGAAGAATAAAAATAAGAGCAATTACAGAAGATGAAGGGAGAGACATTGGGAAGAACAAAACCAATTTCTAGTTAATATAATTGTGGATGTAGCTTGGTAGTCCCAGTGGTCACAGCTGAAAAAGTAAGTAATTAGATGCTCATTGTCCCAGAGCCAGCTGAAATATCTGCACAGCCACTGAATTACCGGCAAGATTCTCTAAATCTTTCTCATCCACGGATGACAGAGTGTCCTCGTCGCCTTCCAGGAGGGTCTGGCTCTCAGAGTTCTGATTTCCTAAAGCCTGACTCTTGATGGACTGTTTTCCTTTAGCAAGGATGTCTTCATCTGCGGCTGAAATGAAAAGGAGACAAAGCTGTCCATCAGCACGGAGGAGCACTCGGCAGAGGGCAGGGCTGCAGGATGGGTCGGTAGCTAGAAATGGCCAATCCTTTCTAGAGTCACCAAGCGTGGGTAGTGACCAGGATGGCGCGCACGCTCCTTCCGACAAACTCGATTCCCCAAGCTAGTGTAATGTTACCCTGAACAAGCACCCTAATCCCATTAAATCTGACCCTTGCACTGCTCACCGGCCATTTATTTACTTATAGTTAGGGCAGGAAAGGGCTGCAAAGCAGCGCCCTCCCCCGTAATTTGTTCCTTAGTGGAAAAAATCAGAACCCAGTCTAGGAAACAATGCTTGTTCAACACGGTAAAATGACGAGGAGCCATTCACTCCTCTGAATAGATTACCACTGGCGTGTACTTGGAAAGGGCCGGGGAGTGTCCAGAAGAGCGGTCAGCGCCTGGGGGCAAGCACCAGCCAATGAGGGCAGAGACTTAAGCCCCAAAGCCCTATGGGACGCCAATAAAAGTCGCAGCAGCTGTATTCTGTTCTTGTTCGTCCTCCCCTGCCCTGGGCGCTCCTCCTCCCCCCACCCCCCCAACACTAACACCAATGCTGAGGGAGGCACGGGCAGCAGGAAGCAGAGCTCCTGGGCCCCTCCTCTGCGTTTCAAGGGCTAAGACGCCTCGGGGGCAATCATAACACAACAGTAGGCTGAGAGGCTTCTGGGCAAAGAGCCTCCTGCGCCTTGGGCCAGGCAGCGAGGCCAGGCCGGGAAGGAGGGCAATGGAACCAAAGAGCCAGCTCGCTGCGGGAAGGCCAGCACAGGGACCCCACGTTGCTCCCCAGCGCCACTCCGGTACAGCCAGCTCCTTTGAAAAGTTCCAGGGATGGCGTGGCTAACCTTCAATTTCTCTGCATGGGAGCAGAGAAGGGAAGGTGGAAGGGGTGTTTCCAGCTAAAGAAATCCCGGGAGTGAAGTTCCCGGCTCACCCAAGCTCAGTACTGACACGGACATCCGATGGTTAGGCTTCTCGCTCCACCACTTCTGCCCAGACACATGGCTCAAAACCCCCAAAAAGAACAAGCCAGGGTTTAGAGCAGCAGTTTGCAACCTGTGGGTCCCACCCCTTTGGAGGTCGCATGTCAGATGCCCTGCACATCAGATATTTATATTGTGATTCATAACAGATGCAAAATCACAGTTATGAAGTAGCAACACAAATAAGTTTATGGGGGGAGGGGTGTTCACCACAACACAGGCGCACAGCCCCGGGAAGGTTGAGAGCCCCTGCTTTAGGGTGACTGGCAACCTACAGCACTGACACTAACTGCTCTTGTGTTGTTACCTGGTCCCAGCAGACCACCAGCTTAGGGATCATATGGTAAAAGGCTTTTTTCTCATACTTGTTGTGAATTAACCATGTGTCTCATTAACATGCAGTATTGACGGCACTAAATAGAATCTAGGGCTTTTATATTAAATAAGGTAGTCATGGGAAGAAATGGTTTGTTTTTAGCTTTGAATGCACTCTACAAGTAAATAAAATTTCACTTTTTTCATCTCTATAATAAGGTGCACAAATATGGAGACTGTAAATACATGAAAAGTTTAACATTAAATGTTTAATATTGAAATTCCTTTATATTTTCAAAACTTACAAGGAAAGACACTAAATAACCATTACATTTTTGAAAAAAATCAACATTATGGTTATTTATCATTGTTTACATTAAGTCTATATATAGACTCCTTACACTAGTAAAGAGTGTATCCAAACAAGGCCTTTCAGCTTGACTAAAAAAGAAAACAAAACAAAAAACTAATCACTGAGAAATCCAAAAGAAAGCATCACCTAGGCTTTCCTTACACACTAAATTAAAAGACATTTTCATTCAGTAGGCAGGCTTTAGTACGGAATCGGTGTGCTACGTTCTCTTCATTTTCTTGATTTACACCTCTCTTCAAAGCAAAGATACTAATAACAAGGATAATATTATATAGAGCTTACCAGACGCCACAGAGTGGTCAAAACAGTTACATATATACTCCTTTAATTCTCAGAAACCTGCTAATTCCTCAACTTCAGATAAGAAAACAGACCAGAAAGGTGACAGAATTAGCCTAAGGTGAAGGACCTATGCTAACTGCAGTCACCATGCAGGAAGAGGCCTGGTGGAGCCAGACCTCAAGGTCAAGCCCCTGGCCCACACCAGCTCTAGGACAGAAGACAGCCAAAGAAAAGGAAAACTACTGGGTAAATATGAATGTATTTTTATTTACTAGTTCTTTGCTTCTCATATTGAAGTTAAAAGAAAAAAAATCAGAACCTACATTTGCCCGCTCTCAAACATTAGAAACACAGCAGCTTTCAGCACTTTCTAGAGGCTCACTGCCATGTGGATTCTGAGGTGTACCAAGTTTAGCTGAGAAGGAAAACTGTGTAATCTCAAACATTGACAAAAACAGAGTTCTTGCTAGCAATATGCAGTGGTATAAATAAATTGATTCATTTAAATGGCTACTAAAAACATAATGTGTTTTGCCTCCCAACTGGGATTTGAAAGTTTTAAATACATTATCATGCTGACTCATACTAAAACAAAGTAACTTTGAATTAAATAGTTTCATGAAAAAGAAAAAAAAAAAAAACACTCTGTAGTAAAGTGTACTAAACACACACAAACACCCATCTTCATTTATTTATTTACTTATTTTTACAAGCTCAGATTCTGGAATTGTTCAATCTCAACTGAAAAAGCTCTTGTCATAGAAACTATGCGGCTTACTGATATTTGGAATGGCTTTCCTGTAATTAACTCCCCCTGGAGGATTCCAAGCAGCAGCAGTGAAATTGCCAACAGCGCTCTAACGCACACCACATGCTCTGCTCCCAGGGCTCCGGCACTTTCTGTAAAGAACTCCTTTCCTTCAAATTACAGCAAAACTTTCCCAAGCATAAAATAAAAGATGATTATCATGTTTATATGTTCTAGGGAAAGATCTAGTTTTACCTTTTATTTGCTTATTTAGTCAATCAACAATTATAAATAAGTATCAACTGTTCTAAAGTCTAAAAGCCTAATTAAATGAAGTTAAGAAGATATTTTTGGCTCAAATTTAAAGTGAAAGTCAGATAATTTCTATTATTAAACTTTTTCAATGAACATGGCCATTGTTCATATTTTAATAATTTAAGTGACACTTGTCTAACGCCATATTTTAATATTTATGCTAACTTGATTAACTACACTGTTTCATTAAAGTATCTTTTCTTCAGTGCAGCGAAGAGAAGCCTAAAAGAGAGGTTGGTCTCACAATACAAAACTCAAGTTCTTGAGAGTAAGGTACCGGCATAAAGTGGTTCATCTCTCCAACACAGACAGGTGTGTAAGACTGAAATAGAGTAAGAATAAACACAGGAAACTCTTCTACCTGGAACCTAGGACTCCCCTTTCCCACACCCACTGAACATGCAACAGGAGTCCCCAGTAATCTGTGTTGAGGGAAAGATGTCTAGTGTTTCAAAAAAGCTACTTTGTTTCAGAAAATGCTAAAAAAGCACCCATAAGATAGTGAGAGCCACCCAATACGTGCTAGAGCAAATATGTAACTGTGTTCTGAGCTGCCACACAGAAAGAGTATCTCACTCAACTATTACCTTCATCTAATTAGAGCCCCTCTACACTGAATTTCTTTGGGATTTCAAGCCAATAAATATACTCTAGAGAAGCTGCCTGAAAGTACAAAGGGTGATTAAAAAAAATACAAGCACATATCCTAATGATGTTGGGTTCTCTGAAAGTTTTAAATATAGAATCTAGTATACACTGATCCCATAAAGGAAATAACAATAAATAATATTGCTGAAATTACCATGAAATATTCCCATGACTTGATATCCTTGGGAATCCAAGCTGGTTATCAGTATCATTTTGTATACTGACAATATACCTTAAAGCTATATTAAATAAACCTCATATATTTCCACCATCGTGTACACTACAAAATAAAAATGTCTTGAATTAAGTCTAATTCTGGTGCTAAAGAGTTGAATTAAAGAACATCTTGTAGTATTTAAACTTATTTTACATGGCACTCTACCTAACAATAAACTTGTGAAGACAATGCCCACTGACATGGAAATTCCCCAGTGCTCAGTGAGCCCAGGTTTTACTCCTGTATATACCAAGACTGGCGTTAGCTCTTTCTTATCCTGGTTTCTTTATCTTTAAAGAAAAAAGACTAGACCTGAGGCTTCAGTTCCTTCTATCTGATCATGAATAGCTGCCACACAGGACTCCATGCATTGGAGTAAGGAAGAAACCATTAGGACAGGTTTCTAATAAATTTTAAACTATAAATAGAGGAAAGATCAATGCCCATCTTTTCTTGATGATGCTAATATCCACAAACAACATTTAACTGTAAGATAAAATATTTACTTTAATTTTAAATCATAATTCAGTTTCTGCAAAGTTGAAAGAACCTCCCATTATAACACGACTTTTATAAATAACCACTTGGGAGGGTCTCTGCTTGAAAAATTACCCAAAGCTCTTTTCCCCAAGCAAGTTAATGTGAACTTGGAAAGGGCAATTAAATTGTCAGAATTAAAAAATTTGTTTTTAACTAGAAGGTAGCCAGAAGTAGAATCACAGGGCTGGTATCGATCGCATCAACAGAGGACATCACTCTTCAGGTCTTTACGCTGCCATCTTTACACCAGAGGCTTCCTTCAGACCAAATCAATCCATAAAAGAGATGGCTCACACTGCCACAGTACATCACCAACACCCAATGGCACGTCTGCTCACATGCCTGTCCTTAGCACTGATGCTGCAGCTTGAGACATTCTAAGAGTCGCAACTTAAATGTTTGTGCTTTTAGTTAGCTGGTTATAAACAAAAGTCTGAAAACAATGCAACACCCAAAGAACAGCCACAGAAGTATCTATTTTTAAATAGATACTTTATAGCATGTATCTTTGTTTAACTATAATTTTAATTATTTTTGGTCAGCGCAACTGTTCTGTTTTGCATACTGAGTCTCATCATGTTTGATACTGTCTGCTGTGTTTTAGGAAGTAATCAAAGACTAAATTCCATAGTTAACACAAGATCAAGACTAAATGTCAACTTGATAAGTTATTTGACTTAATAAAGTCAAGTAAAAAAATTAAGCTCTTTGCCTATAGAATATATTAGCATAAATTAGGCTCACAGCAAATATAGTATAATTTGTGTGTTGAATTTCAGATTCATGTGCCTTGTTATTAAAGATAACACAAAGAATAAAGCATTGCTTTTATATTTTTACAAAAGATTGTACTAAATATCTATTTAACATGTATTTATGGATTATGTGTTTAATCATAACCCGTATCTTAACTGTAATATTGCTGGGTACATACATTTGGTTGTTTTAGAAATAAATGCTTTGTGCATTTGTTGATTAATCATTATCCAAGTTGTGTAAGATATTAGTAAATAAGAGAATCATGTAAAATATCTTTGATTCTATCAAATACAGTCAAATAAAAGTAAATAATATTGTATTAACATTTAGTTAATATCTACAATAAGAACAAAACATCTGTCTAAATAGGATTGCAAGTCTTAATTAGGCATTACTAATGAATATTACTGCAGGTGGTTAGAATTTGGAAAGTTAAAATTGTATTTCAAAAGGTGAAGTTCTACAACAGTATTTAAAATGGTAACTGTACTTTTCTGTAAGAATATACCTGAATGACTGTGTCTTACCTATACGACTGCATTTTGACTCCAGTTACTGCTATTTCCCTGGTAACAGAACACTAAGGAGCTGAATGAGGGAAATCAGCTTCCAACATGCAATTTTAGAAAAGAAATCCCACCCTTCCTGATGTGAAAGAAAACAGTATATTCTCGTTACCATAACTCAGGAATTGCTGTTAAGTAAGAGTTTAGAATAGAAAAATGTTGCTAGATTTCAAACTGTAAACACACCTAACAGTATCTATGCGGCTGGAAGGATAAAATGGCAAACAAACTTTTCTTAATGAAAAGTATCATTAACCAAAAACCTAAAGGAGAGACACATGCAACTGTGAAGTCTGTGCTGGCACACACACACAGAAAACGAACCTCACATTGAAGTAGCCTGATTACCCCTCACCGCCCTTCACCCCCACGGCAGACACAGGGCCTAAGACTGTGACTGCTTTTAGATCATGCTGTTATTGACTATTCTCAGTATGATCATTTATTTTAACAGACGGATGTCACATTTGGTGTTATATCTGATGACATATTGTGGACATTTTCTTCCAGAAATGGCCCTTTAAGGAGGAGTGCAAGAGGTTAAATGGCCTGACTGAGGCCAAACCCAGGACTACAGACTTTCAAATCTAAATTCTTAAATAATATCATCATCTGCATTGAAACATGGCATGGTACCACATAAATATGTGTAATTTCTTTGTATCACTTGAAAACAGTAAAAATAAAATAAAATCCTAATTATCTTAACTGAATATATTTTAACATTCATTTAATTGTGGTATGCACTGTCATTTAATCACAAACTAAAGCATATTAAACTAATATCCTAATGAGAGGTTGGTCTATTTCTACCTTAACCAATTTATACTTCACATAAACAAAGTAAATTTATGTAGAGAGCCACAGCTCTTCCATAATATATTGTAACTGGCTTATAGAACTTCATAAACTAGCAAGTGTCATTCTCTGATTAAGGAAAGTGTATTTTCAAATGCAAGAGACCTTTCCCAGTTGTTTCAGTTATCAGATGTCTACCTAAACTAACCACCATCACGAGCATCTCAACAGAAAGAAGGGATGCTTTGTTCAGCTCTGAAAATAGGATGGTGCAGAACAGGAACATATGAAAATAACGTCTACTCTCTGGTCCACGAGCCATCAATCACAACTGCAAATCAAGGTTCAGCAAGTACCTGGCGCTTGGACATTTATTATCAGCCCACGGCTGGAGGAGAACTGTACATGCAGGTTAGAACCTAGAAACCTATGTGGTTTGTAAATTCAGTGTTTCTAATGTTCTAAGTCAGGCCTGAAAGATGAATTTACTCAAAGCTGAATGTGGTGCTTAAAAGGACAGTTAGTTTAGCCTTGTGCTTTGGAACAGTGGGTTTATGTTAACTGAGTTTTGTGTGTGTACGCTGTAACAAATAAATACACCTGACACCATCACTTCATGGGGTCCTACACAAAGTGCAGCCCCTCACCCCTGCTGCGTACGGCACTGTGGACCATGGGGCTGGACTTTAGGCCGAGACTTAGAGGTGAGAAGTTGTGTTCTTGGTGGCCAGGTGCTGTGCCTGCTGCTATTGGCAAAGGCTGCTTTAAACACTGACCATGCTCCACGGCTGTCTTTAGTGTCGCTTCGGCATGTGTCGATCCTAGGGGGTTACGCACAAACCGTCGCCGGCGCCTCAAGTCATCTTCCCAGTAGTCCAGGCGCCAGAACTCACGAGGACGACTGCAAGGAAACAGAGACGCCACATATGTTAGCAATTATCAAACAGCGTGGAAGCCGGACTCTGCACAGAGCTCTCCTTGTTTGCTCTGCCTTTTTTCCTCTGCGTCCTCTAATTCTCCCCACATCGTACACTCTCCTTCTGCCGGCGTTAACTGAGGTACGTCCTTGAAAACAACAATATCACCTTCGGGTCTGAGGAGCTCCCTTCCTTTCCTTGGAAGGTGAAATGAGCACCAAATACATCATTTTGAAATGAATTGCTGACGCTGTGATCAGTTTCCCCACACCCTAGCGGCATGTGCTCTGATTTCAGCCTCATTTCAGCCTCAGCAGGGCACCCTTCTCTGTGGCTGCATTTATAAGCCAGAATAGGGAAAGGCTATTATAAATAGGGTATAGCATTACCTATATTAATCAAAGTCTGTCCCCCTTCATTTTTCTTCCTAATTTGTGCCTTTTTGCACAAGGTCAGTAAATCATACAATGAATTCTTGGTCCAGAAAGTGTTAACTTTAATGAGTATCTCAGTTACATGGTTATGTATGTGATAATAAAATATTACTCTGTTTAGATGTGCAGGAATTTAATTAAAATAATCTCTTAAAATATTCATTACATTTAGCCCCTGAGGCTTAGAACAACACAAGAAAATGCATTTCTTTTCCATTTCTGTTTTTAAATAAACCATTCTTGTGGAGTGAAATAGCAATCTATTTTCAAGCAAATCAGATTGAATTTCTGTTTTGCGTAGCCTGCTGCTCCACGATGTGCAGTAATTACTATACTGAAAGCGCGCTTTTGGAAATTTATTTTTAAATACAAGTTCTGATATTTTCTCCAATTACACAGATCCTTTATATGGCAGCACATAAATGTCGACTTTCTCTGCTGTTAATACTCACGTCCTAGCATGCTAAAAAATATTTTATAAGAAAAATACTAATATAATGGTTTATTTTAGTTACACAGAGGAAAAAAAAACCTCTGGAGAATGTATTTATTCACTAAAGATGTACAGCATGAATACCTATGAGTTTCAAAAATGAACTAAAAACATATTCATAACTAAAACTTCGGCAGCGTGACTAGTAAAAAAATAAAAATCTTACTTGTATTTCATGAGCTACTAAAACCATGCCTGTCAGCTTTGACAAATTAATACTCTTTACCAGCTGACAATCCCAAAACACCTAAATAAAGTCAACCTCATTTTGATGTTTTAAAGACAACATCTATATAAAAAAAAAAAAACCAAAAAGGTTTGTAACAAGTATTTTTTATTGGTTAAAAATTAAGCTGTAAAAGCATAAACAAACAGTACATTACTTAAAGAATATATTTTAATAGTAGTAGGACTCCAATAGCCATCTCAGAGAATGTAAAAGAGACACTAACAACATCAAACACTTCCTTTGTTGATTTTGGTCATGTATGAAAGAAGAAATGATATCAAAATGAAAAACAAAAACAAGTGTGTGAGCATTGAAATCCTCAAAAAGGAAAACTAAAACTCATTCACTCTTTCTTTACTTCATTGCTCTGATACCTAAACTTTAAATAAAAACTAATATACTAACAGTATTTAAAAGCAAATACAAACTAGACAACATGCAAAAGACAACAGTTGTTTGAGCTCAGTCAGTGATCTAAAATCCTCTTAGCGGGGAAGCGCGGACAGTACAGGCGTCCTGTGCACGGGCGTGAGAGCAGTGGAGCCTGGAGAGGCTCTTCATCACCTGCCTCCTACGTTTATCTGTTAAAATTATTATCAAACAGCAGCCAGGATGCAGTGGAGAATCCCAGGGTGCTCCCTGTCTTCGGGGGAATGACACAATGAGGGTCTATTCATCAGGGCAGCAATCGGCACAAGTAATTAGTTCCCTAGACTAAGATTTGCTATGAAGCCTATTTCAGTCAGTACCACAAACATATGATGGTGTAAAGCTAATGAAAGCTGCTAAAATTTGTTAACCTTTTGTGCCATCAATCCTTCTAATTCCCTATGCTTCAGTATTATGCAAAGGTAGTAAATTATTAATTTGTCATTAATCCATCTTTCTACGTTTTCTGTCAAATTAAATGATGCCATTCTTTCTGATAACAACTAATTATAAGAGATGTTAGCTTGCTATGATAAACCTATTACTAAATTAGGCAACAAGAGGCCTGCTAGAACGCAGAGCAAATCCAGGGCCCTCTAAAGCACTTACAGAGTAAGTTTTATGATGTATCAGGAAACACAGAAAAATTATCAAAAAACTGTTCACAAATGGGCCTGTAACTCAAAGATTATTCAATATGAATATTAACCAAAGTAAAAAGGAAATAAACAGAAATGAATTATTTTTAACACTAATCTTAAAAAAGCCGAACTCATGACTTTGGGCTGAGAAATTAAAGCCACCAATATACTAGGAAATGGAAGTTAATAAATTTAATAAATCCATAAAGATAAGTTTAATTTGTCAGCTACATATCTGTACGTCTTCAAACATGGACATTTTATCAAAACTTCAGAAATAACACGGATGTAATGGAAACAGGGAGTCGTGTGCACCGGCATGCCAGCGCTGGTGACCCACTGGGCCTGTGGGCACCTACGGAGATCTTCTCAGCACCATCTTGGGAAGAAAATGTGAACACAAAGCTGGTCTCACTCATTTCAGACCATGTACACACAGAAAGGACTAAAAAAACAGCCAAGTTTTGTTTTTCTCTGATTGTATTTCATCTTGTTTTGTTGTCATCTTCTAGAAGCTGGTTCTTTTCTACTGACAGAGAAGGAGTGGATCTGGACAGGAGAGAAGGTACGGAGGACCTGGGAAGAGCAGAGACAGGAGAACTGTGCCCGGATTACACTGTGTGAGAACAGAATCTGTGTTTACCAAGGAGAAGAATCACCAGAGGAAACCAGTAATTGTCCAGCGTCTTTTTGCAGAGGCCCCATACAAAGCAACAACCTCTGTGGTGTGGAGGAATGTACGTCTTTATAATCAAACAGCTACTACTCTCATTGGGAGAAAATGGCACTATCTAATTCTCTGAAGGAAAGAAGATCACACTCACACTTTTCCTAATACCAAAATTATTTATGTAGCAATAGACCCAGTCCTCAAACTGACGATGTGAGCCCGTGTTTGGTAAGCCGCAGACATTTTTAATGCTGCCTTCAGAGGACACACCGCGCCGCCACAGAGACACTGCGCAGGGGCTGGGGAGAGGCCGAGTGCGTAAGCTGACCGCTGCACAAGCTAGAACCAGAGCTGGAGTTGCCAGGACCCACGAAGAACCACAGCCCCAGACTCGCTGCCTGTGCTCCCCGCTCTGAGAGGCAGAAACAGGAAGAGAGCCCCAGACAGGCTGCGAGAGCCTGCCTCAAACCACAAGGGGGACACAATAGTGGAAGACAGCCACTGTGGTCCAGCCCCCACTCGTGTACACACAGCCACGCGCACACATACATACACACATGCACAAACACTCCCATACGAGCTACAACTCATCATACAGACTACCTGGATTCAAAAGGTTATGGGTAACCCTAAAATTCAATGTTTATCTTTTGGTTTTTCTGTTCTTTGACTAAATTTCAATACCTGATGCTAAAATTAGCATGTGGATATAAACGGGCTTTTCTAAATCAACCAATTACATTCCTTTCAAACCCTTTCAACAAAGCCGGGGGAGTTGGCTCTCTCAGTCAAGTACTTGCCCTGAAAGCGTGAATTTACTCTTGCACCCACGTGCAAGGCTGGAGTAGGGATGTATGACACCAGTGTGAGGGGGCAGAGACTGGGCCTCACTGGCCAGCAACTCTGGCCTCATCGGCGAGCCTGCGTGGCCAGTACGACACCTTCTCAGAAACAAGGTGAGTGGCTCCTCGAAAGGCCCCCATCGCAGCAGCAGGCCTCCAGGGCCTTCTGCAGCTGTCCTCAAGGTCAGCTATCCTCCCTGTACCCGTCTACCTTCCTTTCCAACCCACTTTCCACTGACCTTTTCCTGTTCCTTCTTCTCTTCTACACCATGATGCTTATGTCTTCTCCCTTGAAACACCCACGCTATGGCCCTTTCCTAATTTCCTGACCTCTATGGATATTCCAAATGGAACTCTCATATCTGAAGATTCAAACAGAAGATCCAGAACCAAGAAAAAATATTTGACATCTGTGTTTCTGGTCTGGGCAACCTTACTGAGACTGTTTTATGACTGTTTTATGCTCAATTCACTTAACTATAAATTTTGTAGTTTTGTTTCTCCTCTGTCTCTGTCTGTCTCTCTCTCTCTCACTCACACACACTAGCCTTTTACATACATGTAATTATACACACAATACCTTTAATGCACCAGGTCAATCTATGTAAAAGAACATTAAAATGCTCTTTTCAATTTTAATATATTGAAGACATTCTATTATAGTAACAAAGTTGCAGATGCTCCTGAAATCTGAGAATATATTTAAGCACCAAACTATTCACTGTAATCAGTGACTTCACCAGGTAAAACATGCATAGAATTAACCAACTGAGAGTCAACTGAAAATGAAGTATTAAACCAAACAAACAAAAAAATCAGTAAGACAGAATTTGTATTCATTTATTCACTAACTGTAGGTTATAACATGAAGAAATCTGTTATTTTCACATGCAAATTACAAAAGATTTAAAGGTCAGTTCTCTTTAGAGAAAGTATAGTAAGCCAATTGGGTAATAACATACTGTAAGTGGATAGGTAATCCAACACAAAATTAAAATATTTTCTAATAATAATAATTATTAAATATTCACTTTGGGACAGTGTAATAAGATGTTTCCATGGAGAATCTCCTGGCTACACGGGGAATACAAATGTGAAATAAATAAGAATGCATGGCATCCTGTGTGAAGACAGCGAGCAGCGCAGCTGCAGAGGGCGCTGCCGAGAGCAGAGCGCAGTCTGAGCCACAGTGTGCTGTGGGAAGGGCAGCGCTCCCTCTGTGCTCCGCGATGACACACACACACAC